AGAGTTGAGAAATCATCGACGGGAATGGGACTATGGCCGAGAACAAGTCATCATGGTGGTAAATCTACCTAGAAGACAGGAGATCCCAAGATCTAGGTTCACGGAGATAAAACAAAGTCATTGATGACGGTTCAACATTGTCAAAGGAAAAGAAAAAAATTATTATTCTATGGTCCATTCTCATGATGAGACAATGTTTAGTAACCAGGATAAAGACATAAGAGCTTTTTAATGGTTTCTAAGTTTCATACAGGGAATATCAAATGGTGTATCTATGGGATAACACAATTAGAAATCACCTATGTTAGTGTGAAGTGTAAGCCGCTTCAAGGAGAATCCAGTAAGGCCAGTTCTTTAAGCACTTACTATCCAACATGTGTTCATGGCTGAAATGAACAAAACAATGAGTACTAAGAATAGTTCAAGGATTTATTGTGTGACATATGTTGTCTAGGTATACACCAAAGCTTGACGATTCAAAGATATCAAATCTACCGATTGACCGAGTATATCCGATATAGGTTCACTATGAAATGTTTAAAGGGAAACCTACTTATCTAGATACGATTAACCTTTACTTACAAGACACACAAGTTTTTTTCATGCATATGTTTTAACAATAGTCTTCCCCATTCATGTGGGGGATTGTTGGGATTTAACAAGTGTGAATGGAAAAAGAAAAGAGAAAATATAAAAAGTGAGGGAACTACTTTGCAAGGAAAATGAAAAGTCATTTTCAAAGTGCAAATGAAAAGTCATTTCTCCCATATCGGCAAAAGAAAGGGAAATTGTTGTCCTTATAGAAAGAAACACTTCCATTACTTCTTAAAGAGCTAAGAAGAAGATGCCCCCTCGCGCCGTCGTCGTCGTCGCTTGCTCAGCTTCGGCTTCGGCTTTGGATTTGGATTTGGCAAATGATTTAATTGATAAATTTTTTGGACAGTAACGGTAACATTTTGAAAAGTTGTTACTCTTTCTGAAAAGTCGTTACTTTCCAAAAAGTTGTTATTTTCCTAACAGACATAATTTTCCGAAAAGTTGTTATTTTTTCCAAAAGACACAACTTTCTGGATAAAATGGTTCTGAACAGATTTCACTGAACAGACATGTTCCTTGCTGAAAATGGCTATAAAAGGAAGTCAATTTTTGATTTTTTAGACTACTGAAAATTTTTCTTTCTCTGCATTTATTTTTCTCTCAAATAAAATCAAAGTGTCGATCTACTGAGTCTGTGTGACTTGTTGTTGTTCTTAAGTTCGTTGAAGTTAAAGAAGTTTGAGGTAACGCTATTTCTTTAACAGTTTTAATCCATTTTATCTTGGGAGAAATTAATCCATAACCTTGGGTATAGTAAGGGGATTAAATTTCTTAAGGACACACAGTAGTTTCTGTGGACTTGGATTAATTCTTGTATTTTATATTTTTTGTGCTTCATCTTATTTCTGTTTCTGTTTACTAACCATATAAATACAGGTTATTGTAAGAATAACAGTTATTATCATATTACTTCTCCAATTTTAAAAAAAGTGATCTAGTTTGATTTTGCTGCGGAGCTTAAGGAAATATAGAAAACTTTTGATTTTTTTGTCTTAATTTAAAGTTATTAGTCAAACATACAAAATTGTCTTTTAATCTTCTAGTTTAAAACGTGCCGCGTGAAAAAATATCAACAAAAAGGGAAATAAGTCATTCTTTTTTTAAAATACTAAAAATGAAAATAAGCTATTTAAAATGGAGGGTACATAACTTTTAGGACTCATTTAATAGGCGGCATAGATTATTAAAAATATCTTTTTAATAAAATTTAGTCAAGAGAAACATTGTTTGTTTATTTTATTTTATTCGTCTTATTTTATCCCATTAAAAGGGAGACTCCCCAGCCCTACGAGATCTTGTTAGTGGCCCCCTTCCGTTTGAGGAATCCGAGAGGCTAGTAAAAATTGTCATCATAAGCGGACAATGGAAGCTGGAAATATAACATACCCTATACCTCAAACCATTATCCACAAGATCACACAAATTAGGGAAAAGGGTCAAATATGCCCCTAAACTATTTGAAAAGGTTTAGATATACCCTCCGTTTAAAGTTTGGTCCATTTATACCCTCGCCGTCCAACTTTTGGTCTCCATATGCCCTTTTGGGCATTAGTTGGCCAACTCGGAATATCCAACTCATTTTACTTTTATTTAAATGTCAAATGGATTTTCCACGTCATTTTTATGTATTATAACTTGACATTTATATTCAAGGAAAAAGGGTGAATATGCCCCTAAACTATTCGAAAGGTCTAGATATACCCCCGTTTAAAGTTTTATCCATTTATACCCTCGCGTCCAACTTTTGGTCTACATATGCCCTTATGGGTGTTAGTTGGTCAACTTGAAATATCCAACTCATTTTACTTTTCTTTAAATGCCAATTGGAATTTCACATCATTTATATATATTATCACTTGACATTTATATTAAAAGAGAAAGGGGTCACTTATGCCCTAACTATCCGACCCAATTTTAAAACACATATAAGACCGTCTTTTAAATGGTTCAATCTATGCCCCTAATCCGACTCATATATGTGTGAATTATTTTGTTATTTACATCATCATCGCCTGCTGCAGCTTGCAGTTGTGTCTGTAATGTTGTTGCGGTGAATTCCTCTACTCTAGCCCTTGCCTTCCAGGTTTGCACCTCCAGCTCTGCGTTGCGCCAAAACGCTTTTCAAACCTCGACTTCATTTTCCTTTAGTTGTCGTGCCATTGATTCCTCGGCGGTTCCAATCAGAGCACGATAGTGTTCGCCATTTAAAAGGTTCAATTATGCCCTAATCTTATCCATATATGGTATTTAAAAAAAGGGTCGGGTTGTATAGATTATTTAAAAGATGGGTCGTACATGTGTTTTAAAATTAGGTCGGATAGTTAGGGTCATAAAAGACTCCTTTCTCTTTTACAATAAATGTCAAGTAATATTATATAAAAATGATGTGGAAAATCCATTTGGCATTTAAAGAAAAGTAAAATTAGTTGGATATTTCGAATTGACCAACTAATACCCATAAGGGCATATGTAGACCAAAAGTTTGGACGCGAGCGTATATATTGACCAAACTTTAAACGGGGGTATATCTAGACCTTTCGAATAGTTTAGGGGCATATTTGGCTCTTTTCCCTTGAATATAAATATCAAGTGATAATACATAAAAATGACGTGAAAAATCCATTTGGCATTTAAATAAAAGTAAAATGAGTTGGATATTTCGAGTTGGCCAAATAACGCCCAAAAGGGCATATGTAGACCAAAAGTTGAACGGCAAGGGTATAAATGGACCAAACTTTAAATGAAGGGTATATCTAAACTTTTTCAAATAGTTTAGGGGCATATTTGACCCTTCTTCCCACAAATTAATATCCCAATATAGCAAATCCGATATATCAATTTGGTCGATAACTGCAAATGGGATATTCAGTACCTCCTCTGTTTACCACAACATAACGGGAAAAATTATTAATAAAAAGCAGTCTAGTAGAGAATTCAATTGGATCTGGAAGCTCCAATACCCGACCAAAGTTAATTTCTTCCTATGGATATGCACTCAGGGGAAACTCTCGACTTGTCAACATATTCACTCAATTGGAATCAACATTAGACCATGGTGGAGAAACAGAGACAGATACACATATTTATTAATTGTCCTAAGGTTAAGCAGTATTGGGAGAAGCTAGGCTTGATCCAATATCTACAACCCATACTAGAGGATAGAGAGACAAACTCGATAATGAGTATTAGGAAAATAAAAAATTTCAACATCCACGACAACATTGATTGGAATTTCGTATTTCCTTTTTCCTCTGGAGCATATGGTTGAATAGGAATCACAATTACCATAATAAGAAAAAGGATGACATACAGATCTCTACCCCCTAAATAAAACCATGAAATTCTATCATTTGGGTATTAAAGAAAGTAAGAGTAGTAATGCTAGGAGCAAACAGAGGTGGGTACCACCGGAGTGGGATACAAACTCAACACAAACGGCTCTTATAACTACTCTACAAAAAATGGGGAAGCAGGAATGATAGAATGTGATAGAATCGTTAATTCGTTTTGATGATAGACAAAAAGAGCAAAGAACAGTAGCAAATGTACGCAGCAAAGAAGTCAAGCTAGAGTCCAAGATCAAGTAAAATAGAGTTATTTGTCAAAGCCAAAATAATATATTAAAGGTACAAGTTAATACAAATAAGGAAAACCTTAAATATATTATTAAGAAAGGAAGTTGTGTATAATAAGGATTCTAAATTAAAAAAGAATCCTTGTTTAAATATAACTTTCTTACCTTATTAGCAAAGATTTGCACAAGGCAAAAAACTCTATAAGAAGGATACGAGGCAGAGGAAAACACAACGACTTCACACAGAGAACAAGAGAGAATTATTCATCAACCTGAGGTCGTCAAGATTGATAAGATTGCTACGGTCAAAACATTCTTGAGTGAGAAGGGTTTTATCGTGTAGAACTATTTGTCTTGTTTTTGTTCTTAATTATAGTTTACAGTTTATTGTACAAAGGGTGGGTTTGGCTCTTTGCATGGTTGGGTGTTAGCAAGAGTTGTAACAAAAGGTAGGTTTGGCCTTTTGGAGAGATCGATTGGAGTCAATCGAGGGAGTAGTAGAAATAAGACTTTTGATTATTGAGTTGTAATCACAAAATCTTATAGTTGAATTAATAACACGAGGTTTTTCCTTCCTTGAGTGAGGAAGGTTTTAATTCAATAAGTGTTTGTGTCTTTACTCTGTCTTCACTTAAAAGCAACTTACACGAACCTGGTTTGTGTTCTGGGGTAAAGTTTCTTCAATTGGTATCAGAGCAGGTCTTTTCATTAAAAGATTCACACCTTGAAAAGACTCAATGGCAGCACCACCTACCCCACAAGAGGGAGCTTCACAAACACGACCACCCTGTTCAATGGCAAATATTATGGATGGTGGAAAAATCGTATGATGGACCATCTTATTGGCGAAAACCCTGATCTATGGGGGGTAATTCTAGATGGCCCAACCATACCTATGAAAGTAGCAACTGATGGAATCACCAAAATCCCAAAAGAAAGAAAGGAATGGAATGTTGAAGACAAGCTTGCAATTAAAAAAAATGCCAAAGCTAAGAAAATTCTGATATGTGGCATAGGACCAGACGAATATAATCAAATCTCATCATGTCAAGATGCCAAAGCCATATGGGAAACACTGCAAACAGCTCATGAGGGAACAACGCAAGTCAAGAAGTCTAAAATTGATAACTTGAACAGGCAATATGAGCTGTTCAGGATGGCAGAAGGAGAGACTATTTAAGACATGCACACCAGGTTCACCTCCATCATTAATGAGATGTACTCTTTAGGAGAGATAGTGCCTAACGGAAAAGCAGTAAGGAAACTCTTGAGTGTCCTTCCTGAAACTTGAGAAAGCAAAGTCGAGGCTATCACCGAAGCCCGCGACCTAGACTCACTGGGAATGGATGAGTTAATTGGTAATCTCATCACATACGAACTTAAGAAAAACCAAAAAAGGAAATTGGAGGAAAAAGAAAGGAAAGGAACCTGGTTCTATAGGCTACTGCATCAGATGATTTTGAAGATGAAAATATCGCCCTCATAACTAAAAGGTTCACTAGAATGCTATAGAGAGGGCAGACCTTTCAAAAGAAAGCTTTTCAAAAACCATCTGAAAACACTAAAGACCAGGTTTGTCACAAGTGTGGGAGTCCAGATCACTTCATAAAATTCTGTCCACTTTGGGCTGTAGAGCAGAAAAAGGTAAACTTTGAGAAAGGTAAAGACATCAAAAAGGATAAGTTTGTTCCCTCAAACAGAAGAATGACAACTCAAGAGGCAGACATGTCAATGAAGTGGGCTTTTGCAGCAATGGGGAATTCACATGATGAAGAGTTTGAGGGTGATGAGACAGAAAACCAGTCTCTTCTTGCACTAGAACAAGAAGATTATTATGACTTTCTTGCCCTTGTAGCAGTGGAAACCAAGGAAGAAAGGGAAACTTGCAGATTACAAGAAACCATACTAGCACTCATGGTTGGATCAGATTCTGAAGAGGAAAAAGAAGAAGAAGACATAAATGAAAAGGTTAGTCTTCATCACTTACAAGACAATCTAGGTTCATACTCAAAAGAGAGATTGAATCCTTACTCAACACTCTCATTGATGCATATAAAACCTTAGACTCAAAAAGGGTACTGATAATGAAAGACTATGCATCACTAAGAGAAGAAAACAAGAGTCTTGAAAAACAGAATCTTCATCTTTTATCTAAGAATACCAAACTAAGTAAAAATCTAGAATTGGTAACTAAAAGGAATGAAACACTCTCCAAAGAGCTTCTTGTGACTAAAACTGAAGCAGAAAATGGGATGAGATGGACCAGGTCCTCCATACTGCTTGACAGCATTCACAAGAATCGCACAATTGAGAAACATGGGATAGGTTTCGATAGAACCATCTCTCAAGTACAAAATCCCAACATAGACTGTTTATGCATGCACTGTGGACTGGTAGGACATAAAAGTCATGATTGTCAAAAGAAACAAACTGCTCATAACAAAAACTTGAAATCCTTGAGAGAACCTCATCATGATAAACCCAATGAGCAAAAACAAATCCCTACAGATAAATCTCTTCCTATATGGGCCAGAAGAAATCTTATCCACCCATTCTCCAAGCTTAAATCAAAGTAGATTTGGGTACCAAAATCTAAAATCCAACAATAAATTGCAGGGATCAGTGAAGAGGAAGCAGCAACAATGGTACTTGGATAGTGCTTGCTCAAGACACATGACTGGAGATAAAAGAAGCTTCCTCTCACTTAAGAAAATCAAAGGAGGAAACATTGTCTTTGGTAATGGTAAAAGTGGTGAAATTCAGGGAATTGGAAGGGTTGGATCAATGGATACTCATGAAATTGAGAATGTATATTATGTGAATGGTCTACAACATAACCTTTTGAGCGTATCTCAAATATGTGATAAAGGAAACAACGTTCTCTTTACAGAAAAAGAATGCAGAGTAACAAACTCAGTGACTGGAAACCTGATTCTACTAGGAAAGAGATACAAGAATGTGTACAAAGTCAAGACTGTTGACTCAAAGGAAGATAATCTTAAATGTCTAAGTGCAGTCTCAGATTGCTCCATGCTATGGCACAAAAGAATGGGACACATTAGCATGACAACTATAAACAAGCTCATATCTAAAGACCTGGTTAGGGGATTGCCAACCAAAAGTTTCAAGGACAACCAAGTATGTGGAACCTGCATTCAAGGAAAACAGGTTAGGTCATCCTTCAAACCAAAGTTGACAGTAAGTACTACTAAGCCACTCGAACTGCTTCACATGGATTTGTGTGGACCAATGCGTGTACAAAGCAGGGGTGGAAAAAGATATGTGTTTGTAATAGTTGATGACTACTCAAGATTCACTTGGACATTGTTTCTTGCAACAAAGGATGAGACATTCACTATGTTTGAAGTTTTTGCAAAGCTGGTTCAGAAGAAATTCAACAAAGAAATAATCAGCATCAGATCTGATCATGGACTGGAGTTTCAGAACTCACAATTTCTACAATTTTGTACTACAAATGGGATTGAGCATAACTTCTCAGCACCTAGAACACCACAACAAAATGGTGTTGTTGAGAGGAAAAAATGAACACTGGAAGATATTGCAAGAACAATGTTAATCTCAAGCAAACTTCCAAAATTCTATTGGGCTGAAGCAGTAAATACAAGATGCTATTTAATAAATATATGTATGATCATATCAGTGTTAAACAAAACACCATATGAGCTACTAAAAGGAAGAAAACCAAATTTGGCACATCTTAGGGCCTTTGGATGTGTATGTTTTATACACAACAATGACAAAGACAATCTGGGAAAATTTGATGCCAAGAGTGATGAAGGAATTTTTCTAGGCTACTCATCACAAAGCAAGGCCTACAAGGTACTGAATAAAAGAACAAACCGTGTAGAAGAAAGTGTCCATGTTGTTTTTAATGAACATACTCGTGAAGTTGAAGGAAATTCAGAGGATGAACAAAATGAGGGAACCTGATCCAAGCTATCAGACCCAAAAACATGGGAAAAAGAAACCATACCATCTAAAATAGGAGATAAGTCTGCTGATGAAACTGGTTCATCTGCACCTCAAGAACTAGTGAGTATTCCCACTCATAATTGGAAACATCAAAGCTCTCACCCCCTGCAAAATCTTCTTACTCCTCTTAACTCAGGCATATCTACAAGATCCAAACTACGTGGTATGTGTGCATTCTCTACCTACGTGTCCCTGATTGAGCCTAAAAATATAAAGGAAGCGTTGCTAGACTCTGAATGGATTGGTGCTATGCAAGAACTCAACCAATTTGAAAGAAGCAAAGTGTGAAACCTGGTTCCAAAGCCCCAAAATAGAACAGTAATAGGAACTAGGTGGGTGTTTAGAAACAAGCTCGATGAGCAAGGTCAAATAGTGCGCAACAAAGCTAGGCTAGTTGTACAGGGATACAACCAAGAAGAAGGTATAGATTATAATGAAACCTTCGCACCAGTAGCAAGAATTGAGGCCATTAGAATACTGGTTGCATATGCTGCTCACATGGAGTTCAAACTCTACCAAATGGATGTCAAAAGTGCCTTTCTAAATGGTTATCTACAAGAAGAGGTGTATGTAAAACAACCTCCAGGTTTCGAGAATACCATATATCCTGATCATGTATATAAACTGGACAAAGAACTCTATGGGTTAAAACAAGCACCAAGAGCATGGTATGATCGATTGTCTACTTTTCTTCTCACACATGGATATACAAGAGGAAAAATTGACAATACACTGTTTCTTCGAAAACAAGGTAAAGATCTGTTCATAGTCCAAGTATATGTAGATGACATCATATTTGGAGGAACCAATGACTCACTAGGAGTAGAATTTGCTCAACTAATGAATAGTGAGTTTGAGATGAGTATGATGGGAAAATTGAACTTCTTCTTGAGACTTCAAATTAAGCAAACTCCAGTTGGAACATCAATTCATCAGCAAAAGTACATCAAGGAATTACTGAAGAAGTATGATATGAATGAAGCTAAGACAAATGATACCTCCATTGGGACAACAACAAAGCTTGATAAAGATGAACCAGGTTCACCAGTTAATGACACTAGATATAGAGGTATGATTGGATCACTCCTATATCTCACTGCTAACAGACCTGATATAGTGTTTAGTGTTGGTCTATGTGCAAGATTTCAGTCTTGCCCAAAGGAATCACATCTAAAAGTTGTCAAGAGAATCCTGAGATATTTGAAAGGTACAATAAACCTGGTTCTCTGGTATCCAACTGGTGACTCTTTTGATCTAAAGGGATTTGCTGACGCTGATTATGCAGGACACATGGTTGATAGAAAAAGTACTTCTGGGATGGCACACTTTTTAGGGCCATGTTTAATATCCTGGGCAACAAGAAAACAAAATTCAGTGGCTCTATCTACTGCAAAGGCTGAGTATGTTGCAGTTGCTTCATGTTGTGCCCAACTTCTTTGGATAAAACAGCAGCTTAAAGACTTTGGTATAGAAACAGGTTGTATTCCTATTCTATGTGATAACACAAGTGCTATAAACATGGCCAAAAACCCAGTTCAACACAAGCGCACCAAACACATAGATGTTAGACATCACTTTCTTCGTGATAATGTCTAAAAGGGAAACATAATAATGATGTTCTGCAAAACTGAGAATCGAGTTGCTGATATCTTCACCAAGGCACTAGGAAGAGAGTCATTTCAGAAAAATAGACTTGAGTTAGGGCTCATCTTCTTAGAATGAACTACATCCAACCAAGTTCTAATGAGGTATAAACCAGGTTCAGTCAAGATGGTTCTACATAATCTTTACTTTAAAAAAATGAGATTAATTAAAAAAAATTCAAAAAAAAAACAACAAATATTTGGGGGAAATAAATCTCATCTTCTCTCTCCCATGCCCCCCTCTCTGACAAGCAGGTGCAACCGTCACAGCGCACGTCTCCTCGATGTCAATCCGCCATAATTACTCCAACCCCTTGATTACAACATCAAAACCGTTCCCAATAAAGCACTCTCTCTAAACTAGCAACCAACTTTCTCTCATCTTCATTCTTCAGAAAACCAAGAAACCAAAAACCCTTCCATAACCATGACTGCTCCACTTGTTGCTTACTCCGATGACGAAAGATCGTCTAATAGTGCATATTCTCAGGGGGAAGAAAACCCAGTTGTTGATGTTGTGCCCGATCTTGGGGAGGAAAGCCAA